TCTGAGCCATCAGCCCAGAGCCTGACGCGGGGCTCGAACTCACGGACCGCGAGATCGTGACCTGAGCTGAAGTCGGACGCCTAACCGACTGCGCCACCCAGGCGCCCCCCTTGGGCTGTTTTTAAGTTACGTGACACTGTGCTCTGCCTTTTGCTAAACAGTCTGGGGATTCTATGCCCTTCACACACATTTCAGATTCACTTCACACACACAGAGGGCCTCCTTTTCATGGTGTTTTAAGTAGTCACAGATTTCTACCTGTGCCTACAAATAAGATTCCCTGGAAGTTTATACTTCTGGGATTTCAAGGGGGGGAGTCCTTGCAAAATACTGCTTAATAAAGAGAGGAAAAATAATCAACTGTTGTTTTAACATCAGAAAGAGACAGGGGAAGTCTACTGGAGTCCTACGCAAAGGCAGCAATAGTAAGGGCGCTAAATCATTATAGGCCATAGATAGAGCATTTCACAGGTGTCATCTGGACACCTTCCAGAAGCAGACTGCAGACCATGAGGGGAGCCAGCAACTTGGGCAGAGATGCGGGGCAGGAGGGAAAACACAGCCTCGTAAAAAAAAAAAAAAGCACATAAAAAAGCACAAAAAGTTGCTTCTTCTGGCGGAGGTGTTAAGACTTGTGTGGCCTGAGATTTTTACCTGACTGATAATCCTTACAACCGGAAGGAACAGAATAATGAAAGGAGACAAAGGCAATGCCTGAGAACTTTCATCAGCCCTTACCTGACACGACAGCGAACATCTAATAAAAGAGTAAAGGCCTTAAAAAAAAAAAAAGTAAAGGCCTATACAAAGAAAGCGGGTCAATCCTGTTCTGCATGTCTAAAACGTTTCCGGCTATGCCATATTCTAAGGAAGGGGAACTGCAAACATTTCAGATCAAACCCCACCTAGGCCTAGATCACAAGTGAAAAACCACACATTGGCCTCTCGTCCCCCATTGTGGCCGTCGTCAATCACTGTTCCACAATCACTGTTCCACGGGTCCAAGTGAAATCAGCGTATGTTGTGTATGTAGATGTTGCTAAGCAGGTGAGGAGAGGAGCCAGAAAATGTCCTGAGGAAGCAGTGTTAATTCCAGGGAACTTGTTACAGGGAAATCCTTTCAGGTTTAAATGTACCTTAAATGAGCTCAACAGTAGAAGTCACACCTGCTTAAACTGGAGATAATCTTCCCGCCAAGACTACAGGGTCCAAAACGCCTGAAGTCTCTCAATAAACTCTGGGGATGAAAGTGGGCTCCGTGTGGTCACCACTGAGTTCTCTTCTTCTAGAACGCTCTATCATTGTAGAGACCCCTCTAAGCAGATTATCCTGCATCTATTTTGGTCTCAACGCAATTCCTATTCTACTGCTGTCACCCGACCAGCACGAGATCAGGAATGATTAATGGAATTAAGATTCTGGGCAACTGAAGGTGCACGTGGCAACAAAGAATGTTATTTTTTAAAGTCGGCCGATCATCTGTATTTCCTGAAATATGGTTTCTTTGGAAGTTTTGCTTCTCAGATGCTGGGATCCCACTAAGCCTGGATAACAGTCTGAGGGCAGAGTCCAGTAAGGCGCTGGGACAGAAAGCAACTCAAACACATGGTTTCAAACTTTCATCAATGTGGTGGTGAAGACCACGGTTTCTGCACTCTAACAATATCACACACAGGAACAAGAAAAAAGGACGTATGTAAACAAGTTGCCCAGAAATCCAGTTCAAGTTCACGAAGACTAAAACACTGTTGACATGCAAAGACACAGGATCATGAGTATTATTAAATTCAACAGCAGGTATGAACCAACAGCCAGAGGCAACGCAGCCCGGACAGAGACCTTCACGTCCCTGTGCCTAAACATGTTAAGTGTGCTTTAAAAAATGTTCACGAATGAAGAGTAAGCATTTCCTGTTGTAGAGCTACAAATACTAAAATGAAGCCTCGAGGCCGCTAAGAAGTCCTTATTGTTAATTTGGCTTCTAGGTACCTCCTTGTTCAAGGAACCATCCCGTCTCACAGCCAAGACCACAAAACCTCTGCCACACATTCACACGCATTTAGAACAGAGCTTGATTCAAACACTCTAATGAATACACTTACCGAAGTGTGGTGAACAGTACTGAGGGAGTAATGGGGGATTATTAACCTAACAGTCTGCCTAGCTCTGTGTGTCCTCTGAGTTTTCTCATGAGAATTTTAATTTTTCAGTACAAAGCAAAACTAAATCTTCAAAGAAGGTTTGCCACTCCCAAAAGGTATTTGCTAGCTTGCTAACTATGCTAAATTGAACCAAATAAGCTGGTAATTACCATGAAATAAAGCCCAGTACCTCAGGGAAACTCTATGCCCACAAACGTTGGGTGGGCACTAGAGGCGTCCGGTCCCGCGAACACGGTGCACGGCCCACGCCCCGTGCGGGTGATCCAGACCCTCGCCGCCTGCAACCAGGCCCGTCGCCCCACCGGTCACCAGCCAGGCCTCGGTGCAGGCGGCCACTGAGAGCCAGGAACGTCACCTCCTCCCTCGGGCTTCCCAAACCAAACCACAGGCAGCCGCGGCTCCGCCACACTCCGGCGCTCGGCTTTGGTACGCGCCTCTGCTTAACCTTGCTCACGGACCCTCCCGGACGCTTTGCTGTTGTCGCCCACCCCCACCAGGTACTCGACTCTGGCAGCGGAGGCAGCCTCAAAACCACACCATGAAAAGGGCACACGGGCCAGTCGAGATCTCGCTCCTTCTCGCCTCCGAACACAGACGAGTGCCCAGCACCGTCTGGCCTCGGTTTCCCTCTCTAAAACAGCAGGTGGATCTCAGCTCCGTTCTGACTATACAATGGCGCATCTGTGAAACAGAGAAGAACCAACGGCCCAACGCCCGAACTCACCCAGCCGAAAGCGCACCACCTGCACGAAGCACCGGGCCAGGCGCGGCCATGACCTCAGGCACCTGTCACGCTCTCAGAGTCAGGAGTGATGTGCCACCACATCCCTCCTACAGCTTTAAATATCTCATTTTTGGACCCAGTGTTCAATCTTCTATGAGACAGTCTGCTTAGGATAGCTTTAATGAACATGTAAGCCCGAACCAGTGCTCAGGAAGACTATCAGAGGACGTTATGACTGTGCCCCTAACAGGCTCCGCCTCAGAGTTAGGCCACGTAAGCCGAATTGCATAGGACGGGCACTCCGGAGACCCATCACCCCCAAAACAAAAAATGACTACCTTGAGAAAAAACTGAGACCAGTTTACATTAGAGAGTCTGCTTCTGAGACGTGAAGAACACACTCCTCTCCGAGAGGCGTCTCCTCTGATACAAAAGGTTTGTTTTATGGAGAAGATGTAGTTTGTACCTTCCAAAAGAAGTGCTCTGAAGGCCCCCGAGGAAACATATCGCATCAAAGATGAGGGAAAACCCCTGGTTAGTTCTAACGACCAAAAGCCGTCCTCAGAACAGCCCAGTCCAGCTTGGCTCGCCCGGCCCGACAGTCCCCGTGGGTCACCCGAAGAGAGCTGGAAGCCCGCGGGCCGCGGCAGGGAGCTGCCAGGGCACCTCGGCCGTGTGGCCGGGCCGTCCGGGTACGCGTCCCTCACAGACTCGTCTCCTCGCACACTCTGACGGGGATGTTGTAGTGCCGGTCGTCCTCGGCGATCAGGGTCACCACCGGCCAGTCCGTGGGTGGGTCGGTGGGGTAGACCGTGATGAATTCTTCGGTGCTGTACTTGGAGAGCCGGTACACCCGGATGGTGTGGCGCACGGCATAGGCAAGAAGGAACATTTCCACCTGGGGAAAAGAGCCAACGGGTCTGCGGGGGGGAAGCTGTGCTGAAAGACACAGTCCCACCTGCTCCCTCCCAGGCTGCGGGCAGCAACCCTCCTTCCCCGCCCTGGGCCCGGCCCCCGGCCTTTCCCCCACAGTCGTTACAAACAGCAGATCATCAAAAATGGACTCACCGTCCGGTAAATCAGGGACTTGTATCCAGAATGTATGACAAACTTTTATAATTCAACAATTAAAAAAGCAAGCGATCGGTTTAAAAATTGGGCAAAGGATGTGAAAAGAACAGACATTAATCCGAAGAAGATATGCAAATGGGCAATGAGCACCTGAAAAGTCATCAGGGGACCGCAGACTGAGGCCACACTGAGCTACCACTTCACACCCCCCAGAACAGTTAGGATCAAACAGGTAAGAACGAGGCACGACCACTTAACAGGTACCAGGTTTTCTTGTGGAGTGATGAACGTGTTTTGGAACTCGACACAGGTAGTGGTCACACAATGCTTAAATGTACCAAGAGCCACTGAGTTATATACTTTAGAATGGGGTTAATTTTATATGAACTTCAATTAAAAAAAAGGTGGGGGGGGCGTGTGGGTGGCTCAGTCGGTTAGGCGTCCGACTTTGGCTCGGGTCATGTTCTCACAGGTTCGTGGTTTGAGCCCCATATTGGGCTCTGTGCTGACAGCTCAGAGCCTGGAGCCTGCTTCGGATTCTGTGTCTCCCTCTCTCTGGCCCTCCCCCTGCTCACGCTCTGTCTCACTCTCTCTAAAATAAATTAAAAAAAAAAAAAAGAAGAAGTACATCTTAGGTACATACCCAAGAGAAATGAAAATATGTGTCCACACAAAAAACCTGCATATAAACGTTCATAACAGGATCATTCAAAATAGCTAAAAAGTACAAAGACCCCAAATGTCCATCAACTGAAGAATGAATGTGATACAGCCATACGATGGAATACTGTTAGTGATACACGCTACAATATGGATGAATCTGGAAAACGTTTTGCTAAGTGACAGAAGCAAGTCACAAAAAAACACGTATTGTATGATTCCATTTATCGGAAATGTCCAGAATAGGCAAATCTATAGCAACAGGAAGTAGACTAGTGGCTGCCTAGGGCTGGAGGGGAGGGGGAATTAGCACCAATCATTACAGGATTTCTTTTTGGAGTGATAAAATGGCCTAAAATTAGACTACAATGATGGCTGCAAAACTCTATAAAAATACTAAAAACCACTGAGTTACGCACTTCAAAAGGGTAAACTTGATGGTACGTAAATTATGTCTCAATAAAGCTGTTATATTTTAAAAATGGACTCGCCATATGACAGTAGACTTTGTGAGGACTCAGAAAGAACGAACTTCGGTCTAATTTGCAAACCAGCTGCACCAGACTTTTTACTGAAGGCAAGCGCTACGGTTCAGGAGACGTAAGCAGCCTACACTGCAAGTGCAGATACTTTTTGTAAGCAGTTCTTTTTGTAAGTCAATTCTGCCTGACCCAGCAGTGACCTTCAGCCTTTGCTCTTTCTTACACACCAGGAAAAGGTAAGCGCAAGTGGGCAAGTGGGTCTCATAAGCACAAAGGGAGCCCTTTGGATGGATAGCCTTAAATGCTGCTTTAATGGCTGGCTGTTCCACCAGAAAGGACTTAAGCTTTTCAGGATAATATAATGAGGGCACTAAACATAGTGCAAGGTATGGTGAGTCAGGGGACAGTACTGCACTGGGTCTCCGTGTAGAACTCCAAACTTAGCATCTCTGTAAAAGATCCAAGAGCAGGCTAGTCTCTACTGGCTAAGGTGACTCCATTTCTATTTTTAAAGGATGCTACCTAATACAGCTACAGCTGCCAAGATTAAATAATAAGACCCTTTGCTTCATGTATTGGTAGCCTACCAGACGCGAGGGTACTAATCCCGTCCGGCATCCTGCAGAAGCCAGCCCCGGATGAAATCAACGTGGTGGTTACAAAACAGATCCACAGTTCTTTTGTACCCTTGTACTCCTCACTTGAAAAGGTGGGTGGAACTAATGCTCTCCCCTTGAGTGTGGGATGGATTTAGTGACTTGTTTTTAACAAATAGAATACGGTGTAAACAATAGCGTTTAACTTCCAAGATGAGATCACAAAACACATCTGTGGCTTCCTCCTTGCTCTCTTCTTGGATCACTTCACTTTCTCAGAGAAGCCAGCCATCATGTCACAAGGACACCCAAGTGGCCCTACAGAAGGGCCCATGTGTCGAGGAACTAAACCCTCCTAAGCTACCAATGAGGCCTCCTGCCAACAGCCGGGGGAGTGCGCCACGTGGGAAGTGGATCCCCTAGCCCAGTCAGGCCCTCGGATGACCGCAACCTCCCGAGGCCCCGAGACAGAATCACGCAACTAAGCTGCTCTGGAGCCCTTGACCGACAGAGGCTCTGAAATACCGTGTGATGATGAAAGCTGCTGCTTTGGACTAATACACTCCCGAAGGCACAACTCACCTGTTCAAGGCCACCAGTGTGTCCCACCTGGTTTAGGTGGTTCCTTAGCAGCTGTCCAGGGTCATTCGATGTGTCCCGAGCAAACAGAAGCACAGAGAAAAATGGTACTTCCTTTCCCTTCTCTTTGTCATCGTATAGTTCAATGGCTCTGTTTAGCATTAGAAATTTTACAGCTTCATAGAGGCTATATTCCTCTTCCTCATTTGTGAACAGTTCATCGCAAGCTATCTGCCTCGCTTCAGCAGTTCTCAGTTCTGCCAAGCCTGCCCACTGCAAGAAAGGTACATAACAATTACACGTCTGTTCTAAGAAACCCTGGTATACTTCCATACTATGTGCACAAAATTATTTTCCAAGTAGGCAACCACGGATCATGCACCAACATTCACAACATTCAAGTTTTTAGCTCAAACCATGGTACTCTTTAGACCACACAAATTCCTTATTCAGCTTTTCCCCCATTAATGTGAAACAAAAGTACAAGGCACTAAGAAGGCTTAAGGCCATGGAATGGAACTTTCAACTCCCCTAAGATCCTAGACAATGGAATTGAACTAGTCAAGGGGCACCTGGATGGCTTCGTCAGTTAAGTGCCTGACTTCAGCTCAGGTCATGATCTCACAGTTTGTGGGTTCAAGCCCCGCATCAGGCTCTGTGCTGACAGCTCGGAGCCTGGAGCCTGCTTCAGATTCTGTGTCTCCCTCTCTCTCTGCCAGTCCCCTGCTCGTGCGCGCGCTCTCTCTCAAAAATAAATAAGCATTAAAAAAACAAAAGAAAGAAAGAAATTGAACCAATCAGAGATACTTCTGGAGGGAGGCGCCTGGGTGGCTCTGTCAGTTAAGCGTCCGACTTCAGTGGCTCAGTTGGCTAAGCGTCCAACTGCAGCTCAGGTGGTCATGATCTCAGTTTGTGAGTTTGAGCCCCGCATCGGGCTCTGTGCTGACCACTTGGAGCCTGACACCTGCTTCAGACGCTGTGTCTCCCTCTCCCTCTGCCCTTCCCAGCTTGCACGCTCTTGCGCGTGCGTTCTCTCTCTCTCTCTCTCTCAA